TGGCAATGTAATTTTTTTCCATGCAGTGGTAGGAAAAGGTAGTTTACTGAGGTCTCTCTTATTAAAAATGACTTCTTAAACAGTTTTTTCTCAAGAAATAAGAATGTCCTCTACCCTAATAGAACTAACTCAAGTTTACCTGGAGATTGAAATATGAAACAAAATATGTTGTTTAGACATAATTAAATGGAATTAATTTTTCAGACGGTCTATGAAACACATTTTAATAGGCTAAGGGTGAACATGTTGCTATTACTATTTACCTAATGATCACAATCTTTGCCATTGACAACAGTAACTCAGTATCCCTTACTAAATTCTTAATAGTTTTTATACTTTTAAATTTAGTTTTATTCCTATGGAAACAATTTCTTAGAACTTCTGTTAATCATGCCATAGCTGTACCATCAAAATTCAAAGTGTTTATAATCTAAAATTATAGTTTAACTTTGAATTCAAGTACAAGTTGAGTTTCAAACATATATTTTAATTTTATTGTTGCGTAAACATTGTGATGTTTGTGATGTCACATAGAGAAAGCACAATTAAGCAGTGTCGTTAAGCTTAACTCTACATTTTATATAACAAAGTCATTTTAGTACCCTTATTATTTCCTTGAGTCTAACACTTTTGTATTCTTTAGAAGTTCTTGGGAGTAGTTCAACTGGTATAGAATGCGTTAGTTAAAATTCTGTTGGAAGAAATTTTGTATTCCACAAAATAAACTTTAGCCCAACAGTTTTCAAAGCTAATATTTATATATACCGAATTGTTCATTGTAATACATACTGACATCATCTTTTGCACAAAGCACAGTGAGTTTACAAGATTTGGCGTGACAACACAATTTCCACAATGTCATTTCATCCTTAAGCTTGATGGGTTCAAATCTTGTAATCTTCCTCCTTACCCCTAATCCTGTTGGTTACTACATTACCTGATCCTTGTTTCAGGACCCTAAATCTAGATTCCTGTTCAACCACAAATCCTCCTTCTTACGTTGTCTTAGATATGGACATATGTGATTTCTGTGGAAAAGCATGGCCCCCGAATGACCAAGATTGTAAGGAAATATTCATACAATTTTCTAGTTGTTTAGAACTGAATTTAACTGAAAAGAAATGTTCATACAAGTATTTTTAGCAAATTTACCATATAGGGAATTGGCTTTTATACTGTAGGTCTCATAGTAAGACCTGGCCCCGGATCGATTTTTGTTTTGTTTTGATATCCCCATAGCCAGGAAACACCATCTGTTCAAATTTACATGTACATATTTATGTGTGTGTCAGTTAGCACGATAAAGTTTGATAACCAGTGTGATGTGACTATGGGATCAGTTTTATGGAGTAAAAATGGGTTTCCCTCAAAAACTCAAATTATAAAACATAAAATATTACCATAGATAAAACTTACTCCCTTAGTAGATTTCCCATCCTTAAGGAGTATGTTTTAACTATGATATTACATTTCTAAACTATTTATTAGAGTTAAACAAATAAATAAATAGTAAATTAAGATTCCGATATATGATATTTTTATGGAGAACAAGTAAACTGTCGTGGTTTGCTCGTTTATGAATATTCTGATAAAATTTGGCAAATTTATTGATTTAATCATAACAAAACATACATTTGATTATTTCTCGGATATAGAAATCATTTTAGATATATTTACTCAATTCTAATTGCGTTAACCTATATGTTTTCATCCAAGAACCTTTAGTGAAATACCAGCTTCCATTTGATTTATTGATTATATAGATCAGACATACCTTAAGCACGCTACTAAATTTACAAACAACCCAAATTGTTCTAAAAATGGAGTTGTTTGTTATTGATTAACAAAACAATAACAAACAATTTTAATTGGTTTTTGTTGGGGGTTAGTTCAATGATTTGATTTGAAACCCAACAGTAACTGCTGATTTTTACGGGTTTCACCCAGTGTTTACTGAAATTGTTTGCTAATATTCTTACATGAAAATATGTTTCTTGGTTTTAGAGACCCATAAATATTTGGATAAAAATTACATTACAACAGAAAACAATTTATCGCTCTTAAGGTGCAAAGCATGTCATTTGACCATCATGTAAATTAATCTTATTTCCCAATCTCAAGTCAGTATTCACAATCCACACCAGTGTGCCAGTATTCTCTCTAAGCGTTTTAAACTTATAGTGCTACATTATTTTATATTTGCCTCGTTGGATGGTTTTATACTGTCTTACAATATCTTTCATGGGGTTATATGTAAGAAGAACATCTTTTAATGTTTTCTTAGATTTTTGTTGTGTTCTTTCAGTTCTGCAGCAAACAAATAATTGATAATGATTAGGGCAAAAGTGTGCATTAATATTTTTTTAATGACTCAAATACTTAGAATGGTTTGTTTTGGAACATAAATTCTGAGGTTAGGTTAGGTTGGGTTAGGTTAGAAGTTAGGTTGAAGTCAAATCAGTCATCAATTTCGATTCAATCAATTTTTAAATACTAGGGGAAACCCGTCGAAATCGACGGTTACTTTCAAGGCTTACGTTAATTCGTCTAACTGCGTTAAATTTGGTGAAATATACATTTTTAAGCATTTAGCATTCTTTAAAGAGTAATAAGTGTAAAAACAATAATGATATTAATTGCGTTAGTTTCCGACTCTGGTTGATCATTCAATGATTAAAATATTTCCCATACCGTACGTCATCGGAGTTATTATTAGTATGTTATATGACATCTCTTCCTTATCCTATGGAAGAACATTTAAATAGTATTAAAATCGTATTGGTGGGTCTTTTGTAGTTAAACACTTCTGTGATTTCATCAGTGTAATATGATTTTATTTGAAAAGAAAATATTTTTTGGGAAGACATATTCTAACTTCAAAGGGAGGTATATCCGTTACAGTGTAAGATTGATTTTTCCTTCGTCACGTGGCGTCGGTTCATATCGTACTTCTGTGCCAATGAATGAACCCTCTAGCATAGTTTTGAGAAATTGACTGTGGGGTTACTGTTAAAGCTGGAATTCCTTGACATGGGGTCTCAGCCTTATCAATAACATAAAGTTGTCAAAATAATCTCTCTACGGAATGTTAGGTGTTGTGGAATACTTGAAGTGAAGTTGGCCGCTTCATTGGCAACCAATAATGCAAATGACATAGCAATGGGACATTTCCAAAAGCAAAAATACTGTAAATTGGCTGTTACGTATATATTGACGTTTACATAATGTTAATCAACGTATCTTATAAAGGATTATGTGATCTAGTTTAAAAGGAATATGACCTTTCTGTCATGAGAGTAGCTGCTTATCGTATTTTCTCTTTGTACCATATTTTACAGCCCAAATGTAGTGTTATTTTCAATAATGTTACCAACCCAGTGCGCCAAAGTCCTTAATATAGGCAGCTGGCAGGTGCAAATAATTTGTCAAGATGGGTACCATTTTAGGCAAGGTGTCTATGTTTGGATGTTATTAGACACGATAAGAGCAGATATTTCTACATAAATATTTGATATGTGTAGAATAATAATATGATAAAATGTAGGCATAAGTGGTGAAAAAGGCAGACACCAACCCGTACAATATATATAAGATAGTTCAATAAGAAACAATTTAAGAATTGCTGTGAAATAAGGATTTTTCACTGATTTCGTAATGGAACGTTATAATGCAAAACATGACATGACATGATAAAGAGGAAAATCAATTTTAAAATCAGAAAATAACATTGCAAATACTTATTTGGTAGAATTCAGTAACTCCCAATAAATATATGTGTTGTTTGAGATAAAATTTAAAAAGGAACAGCTGTTTTATTAAAAAGTATTATTCACATGGCCGAAATGTAAACAACTCTGTGGAGGGATCTTTAAAGGCTTCTGGGGCAGAGCCCTAAGTGATTTTGCTTAGTTTTTCTTTTGATAACTCATCTACAGACCAAGACCTTTCTTTGGACACCCCTACCAAGTTCCTACGCCCAGCCGATCTCTCAAATTAGTGGGGACAAAGTTTCCAATTAAATATTTCAATTCCCCCATGTTAATCTTATGGGAGAAAATCCAACTTTGATGGCCTGTGGGGCAAAGCCCGAGGATTTTTATTACAGGAATTGGTGAAAGGGGGCGTCTACACAAAAAATACTTTATTTTGACACGTTGTTTGTAAAAATCCGTCCATTATTAACGGAGGAGTAGTGTTTTGTAGAAATCGCCTTCACGTATTATATATAAGGATATTTTTTGTGTAAATTGTTTTTTGGAATTTTAAAACTTTTGTTTTAAAGGTTGAAAAAATCACAATTTAAGTCAATATATTTATTTAGTTTGTCAAAATAATAATTAAAATAAAAAAGTAAATAGCAAATCATATCCAAGGTTTCAATAGCTTAAAAATGAGATATTTTTAAACTTTTGTAATACGCTTCAACCATTAACATTGCCGTTATGGGCAGAAAATCAAAGATTGCCGGCGGTCCTGTTGATCCTGTTGGTAACAATAGAGTGAATTTGTATAGATGTCAATACCTTTTTTTAACGCGTCAACTTTTATAACATTTATATTCAGATTTGCGATTTGTATCGAGATTGTGAGAAAAGTAGATAGTGAGTGTTTTTTTGATAATTTAAAACAACTTTCCTTTATCATAAGGCTTTTAATAAATAGTCGTGGCTAAAGAAACAGCTGATCTTAGTCGGTAACATCAATCATCGGTAAGGCATCTCACTCCATTCATCACTCATATATATAGGTACATTTAAATATGCAACTTTTCTTCGTTCCTTAATTAATTCAACAATATGGATCCAATTGTTATGGATACTTTGCTAGCTTTTTTTAGCGTTTTGGATCTTGGTGGAGGATCCGGGCTTGATCCTGGCATGTCAACAAAAGTTTGAAGGTCCGTACTGGTACTGCTTTACAATTAAAATCATACAAAATGCCACTGGATGAACAAGTAAAAAAAAAATTTATTGCTGTTATTAATCTAAAAATTATTTTAGACATGAAGCCTGATATCAAAACCGAAAAAGAGCCTGCAAAGGATGAAGCAGCCGAAGAAATTGCCAAAGATAAACCTCAAAGTCAGCGGGCCCAACACACGAGGGCTTCAGACATCATTGTACTTACAGTTCTCGCCACATTCCTTCTGCTCTACATTCTCATCAAAGACTGGCTGTTGATAGTAATAAACGGTGTACTACTGTGTCTCTATGTGTTATTTATTCGACGACGACTGCCTCTTCCCGTCTATGGAACAATGGACCTCGTCGAATATCTAAACAAACTATCATGACTGTCAATATGTTTGAAAATACACTCTTTTAACGTTTTGTTGTTTAATTAATCCTGGCAAAAGAGTCAGCTGGTGCTAGTAATATAGCTACATTCTCTCACACATTCTACATTAATTTGTTCAAATTTGGGGGTTTAATTCCTTATTTGTGTGCTTATTGGAAGATTTTATAATTTCAATGTGTGTAATAGGTGTAATCTCTTTAATGCGTGGAGTTGATCAAGCTATTTATTTGTTCCTAAAAATTCTAGTACATGAAAGCACTAAGTGGTTCTTATGCTTATCCACTGTAATAGCTTAAATGAAAATACATAGCAGCTACATAGCTGAAATTTGTGTCATTCTGTTCAAAAATGGTGTCAGCAGTAAATGGTTATGAGCCTTATTGCGGCATAAAAGCAAACTATGGATTTATACACGAAACCAGCCCTTAGTTTAACAAAAACTGCCCTTGTAATTCTTACGCTATTAAGTAGGCTTGCTGTAACCCCTTTTCTTTTATTTTTATATTAGTATATAATCATAATGTAAACTGAGAGTGATAATAGTTTTAATTTTTTTAAGTTGTAGTTTTAATTTTTTTTGCGTTGTGATGAAAAAAGCGTTGTTTATCGTAACTTGCACCGAAAGTGATTTTCTTATTCTCGTCCCCGGCTTTTCCTCATGTGTAAAACATACTCTGACAAGCTTGGCTTCGCTTTGCATGTGAAATTTGGGCTCACACTGGAAAATGCCATTTTTGGTTCTTGCAATAAAATGTACTTATTCCTACAAAGAGTTTTCTCATCAAGTCTCCTTGAAAATCATTAAGTGAGAGAGAGGTTTAAGATAACAAGAGCATACTCTAGCACTAACTAGAGTATGCTAGAGTATAAAAGATGTATACCTAACATTAAACTCAATCATTTATGAACCCAGCACAATATACACTATATCACTATAAGAAAACATGTCTATAAGGTGTGTTGTGAAAGATAAAATCACCCTCTCTATAAAGGGATACAAAAAGACACATGATGGAAAAAAATAAAAAAAGGAAAAAATATTGTAAAGAACAAATTTCACTTTAGCAGTACACTAGCAGGATTTAGGTGAAAATCCTTTATTGAATATCTATACTTATAAAAGGCAAAGCCCTCACTGACACACTCATCACTAATTCTCCCACTTCCCATTTACCTAGGAGGCTGAAATTTGGTACATTGATTCTTTAGGCATTAAATAGGAAAACTAAGTTGTTTTTATTCTGATCGGACTCTCGGGCTCCGCCCCAGTGGCTCTGGAGTTTCCCATGTTAGCCTTATGATTTTTCATATTTAAAAGGAATTAATGAATCTTAACAGCTGTTTCAATTAAACAAGTTGGTTCTGTTCTATGATGTTCAATTGCATTAAAGTTACAATGATTACCAACAGGGTGCAGCACTATTATTTATTTTAATTAATGACAACAGCTAATTTGCAACCAAAAGGTGAGTGAGCGTAGCGAACGAACTTCAACCTGGAGACGACTTAGCGTAGCGAACGAGCTAACCTGAAGGCAAGTGAGCGCAGCGAACGAGCTCCAACCTAAAGGTGAGTGAGCGTAGCGAACGAACTTCAACCAGGACGTGATTGAGCCATGCGAACGAGATCATCTTGAAAATTAAGAAGTTAAACGGGGCAAAGCCCGCGGGTACAGCTAGTTTTATATAATTACAAGTCCATAATACGTATACTGTACAAAATATTTTCACTTATACAGCAATCACATTCAGTACCTGGAAATTGTCTAGGTAACCAAGAGGTAATAGTGCTCGCTTTTAAATCTAAAGGTTGCTGGTTTGCTTCCGAGCAGTGCCCTTTTGTCAATTATATTGGTAATTCTTTCTAACTATTGAAATAAAAAGATCAATCTACTGTAAAAATAAGATTTTATTCACATGTTGTGTATAGCTTTCGAATCGCTAGTAAAATTTGTCATCTCTCACTAAAGTTTGGCAATCAGGATGTATACCATGGTAATCACAAGCAATATAAGAATTGGTGTCATGTTGATTTTCCCATTCAGAAGCATGACAAAGAATGAAATAAACAGCATGAACAAGAAAACGTCAGCTTCATTCATTCTGGCCTCGATCCTGACATTAATTTCTGAAACAGTTTTTTGGGTTTTACATAATAAGTTTACTTAAGGAAGATTAAAGTATTTGTTGTACAAGAGTGGTCCTAGCCTTACATTTTTTCGTGAGGGCGTTGTCCAAATACACATGTAAAGTTATAGGTCAATTATTTGAGGGGCATGGATTATCCAATATGAAATGCCACAAACTTACCCAGTGGGAGGGGTCGGGGGTATCCCAGAATATTGATAATTTAATTGATATTTCAGTGTTTAAAATGCAAGAATAGGCAATTTGTTACACAGACATTTCAGAATTCTTTATATAGATATGTTGATAATGTTTTCAGTAGTAAGTAAGTAAAATAAAGAAAGTAATGCAAGAAAGTAAATAATTGATCAATAATTTAATTTTGTTTTTGTACAAAAAATTCTATTAGACTTTTATTGTCAAAATGGATTCAATTTCAAATAAAGTAATAATAATAATAAAATGTTTACGTTGACATGCTTGGAATGGAAGATTTTTGCAAAGTAATGACTCTCACGCAACTCCCACGGTCCTCACTATCAAGGAGCCCCAGTACCATGGTGAGGTTTCATGGCAATCTATACTCATGAGCAGAGGTTAGAGCTTGGAAGGAGAAGTTTTAGTATTTCGTACCAGTATTGCTGGGACAGTAGCAATTGTAAATCGGTTAAACCATAAACAATTAGTGTATGAGTTAAATTTTAAATTTATATGCTTTATATCAAAACAAGAAGTTATGACCTAACTTACCATCATAGATACATTATTATACTGGTGGACAGCAGTTTTCTTGTTCACTTTTAGTGCTGAAAAAATAGAAAACTTGACTGTCTAATTGCTATTACACTGGAAACAAATTAAGAAATAGATTCCAACCTATTCATATGGGCCCACATAAGAAGTATTAGGTAGTTGAAAAAATTACATGAAAGTGACCAATAATTTAGAAAATAAAATAACAGTCGGTTGGAAAATACCTTATTTCAGGTAACAAAATATGAAAATATTGTATTGTGGTTTATACCAAATATTAACGAACATGCTTAGCAAAATTAAGGGATGAAAAAAGCTGGAAAGATCTGTGGATTGAGATTTTAAACACTTTTTGAGTTTCAACAGAAAGCAATTCAATTTGAAAAGTTTCAGCAATGAACACTGCAGAGAATATCTGATGAATTATTGAGAAAGTGAAGTGATCCATGACCCATAAAGGAAATTGTTTTGCGGGTTTAAAGACTGATTGCCAGGCAGTCCTGTACATCATTTGATGAATAAGAACCTATTTCACAATGCTGACAATTTGTTAATGTTTATATGACAATTAATCAGAAAATTCATTTTATATGTTTGGAAAGAGGTACCAGGAAGCCATTTCACGCTGATCAAAATACATGCTGTTTAAACAATAATATGTTCACATTAAATCTAGATTTATAAAAAAAAATGGTTGGAGATAAAATCAAATAGTTTTACTGTAACATCTAGGCTATAGACCCTACTTATAAAAAAGGCAAACCTGCATATGTATACCTACCTTTTGACTCACATGACAAATTCTGATTTGCTGTTCCTCTCCAAAACTATAATTTGGATTATTCTTCGTTATTTTATTGTTCAAGTTATTGACATAGTTTCCATGGCTTTTTAATATTTCTAGTACCGGTAGTCTGTAAGTTTATCACTTCTATTGATTTCATGTAAGGCTCTTTCTAAGATGCTATTCTTGATATTATTACTTTGATGTAGAATAGTGAAGATCAATTTAATAAATACTACAAAATAATCCAGTTCTCTCTATAACAAGACAGATAAATGTCATTATAAGATCACATTTGATTTTAAAAACCACTTTTTAGCGAATTTCCTTATAGTGAATAAGGTATTACCGTAGATGGCACCGCACAACCTAGATTCCTGACTAATGATTTTCTTTTGCATTTTGTTGTCTACAGAGCCCAATTTATAAAATAAAATAAACTTTACAATATATATAATTTGATTTATAAAATAAGTGGTAGATGCCTTACTATTTCATTCAGCTAAATTTTCTTCGTTATAAACTCAAAGCACAAGTTTAACTGCAGTAAGCACATTATTCGCTTACAAGTCAACCAAGCCCCGCGTGTTCTGCCAGTAGGAAATAAATCTAGTTCCCGGAAGTATTTGAGTAAAAATCCAACCACACAAATGTTCCCTTAATCTGCAGCTTTTCTTCAACGGGGATATTTAAAAAACCGGTGAACTAGAAATATTTAAAAACAAGAAACAGAAAATAGTCATAATTCTTTTAATGCTAAACTAAGAGAAAAAAAACTACAAAACCATTTAGGCTATTTGGTATGATCACAGGTAATTATTTACTGAACTTAATCACTGATCTGTATCCTAATTACCTCATTCACAAACACCTGATTCTGTTTGCAAAAAAAAAAATAATAAATAAATAGATACACTACACTAACCCACAACAGTTTATATCCATGGCTTATTGGCAATTACTTCCACTCCAGCAAATGATCAGAAAATAGTGCACAAGTACAAATACAATTCTTATTCATTTGTTAGCTTCTTTTCCTTCGTTGCATGAGAAGTTGATACAGCACTAACCGTACATGAAGAGGTAGAACACAACACAACAGTAAATTTTCAAAGTTCTAACGGTGATGCAGTTTTTTTCTCTTGTTCCAACAAAGTATCAGGAGGTACTACCACCACCGCACAAGAGCTCATATTCACATTTCGATTGGGAATCCTGAATATCTCCTAATATCTTTGTCCCACCGATACATCAGCAAGTAGTAGACAAGCCACAACAATCCACATGACACCAAGGCTTCTGGCCTGTTGAAAATGAAGAACAAAAATATCAGATACAGTGAGCATAAAAACACAACAATATGAACAGCCTTCATGATCCACTTCAATATGATAGCAACACAAGTGGAATTACTAATTGACACAGGTGGTTTTGACAACACTTGCTTGGCCTTTTGTTTGTTTACTCGCATGAAAAATATAGTTCATCTGTAGTAGATGTAAAAGTTTTGAAATGTGTCAACCAACATTATTGCAATATTTTTGTTATTGTTTTTGTTTACAATATATATTAGAAAAATATATTACTTTAAATACCTAGATTAAAATTTAATCCAGTTATTTCTAATATTTTATATGATTATTATTATAGTGTGAGGATTCTTATGCTATTGAAAATATGTTTTTATGTGCGTTTCACGTAGGCGATTCAGTTCATGGGCGTACCCAGAGACGATCAGAAGCCAGGATAAGGTATAAAAAATAGAGATTCAAGAACAATTTTATTAGTACGAGAAAAGATGAGTAAGATAGTTCACAGATTTTTTAACAATATTTTTTCATTAGTTTCTGTGTTATTTCTTTAATAAAATAAAAATTCCAAAAGTAGTAATATACAGACCAATTTCTTGCAATATGTATAAGCTAACAACTTTGTGTAGTATAATGAACACATATAAACCTATTTTTAGTATTTTTGTGACATTATTTTGTTTTCTTTTTTCATCTGCCTTCAACAATAATGTAACGAAGAAAATTGCTCTACGGCGTAAGTTACATTTCTGGGGTTATAAATGGATGTGAAAAGTTGGCATGGACACAAAAAATACAGTTAAATGTGTATTGTAAAGATAAGCAACCTGACCTGTCCCCATTGACAGACATAAAGCCACTTTATAAACTATGACTTTATATCACTGAATTATCGAGCTAGGTTTCTTATATTAATGTCTCAAAATAGCGTAAAAACACTATTATCAGCATATTGTTTATAACAATTTTCCGTGAGGGGGTTGGGAACCCCCGGACCCCCCTCCTAACTGGGCCTCCCAGGCCCCCCCCCTGGTGGGCCACCCCTAGTGACTCCACTAGGGGTTTCATGCCACTAGGTTTCAAGTACGCTCTTGCCCTCCCCCCTAGTTTCGATTCTGGGTATGCCCTTGATTCAGTTTGCTGATGTCTGTTTAGATATACATATTTAATTTTATGCAACATTTTACAATTTGTTTTACACTTTGTATGGAACACCAGATTACAAAACTTTTGTTTAAAATAGGCCAATAAAATTGAACTATTAGATTAAATTTGCTGTGTAGCAAAAAAAAAAATAGTAGGACAACAACTATATATTTTCTACACATTCCCGGAAGGACTTAACTTTTGATAATTTAATTCATTCATTTTTCATTGTAGATTTAAAATTCCTGTAAGTGTGTATACCTAAAAATAATCTTAAGGTCATTTTTGTCTGTTTTATGCAGATGACATTTTTTTACGGTTTCTTCGTGTTAATTATTGGAACTGTTCAAACCAAATTTAACAATCCATTTATAAACTTATCACTATAAAAGTAAATCGCAAAATGTTAATAATGCAGCCTAAAACAACAGAAATACATCTAGTAAACGTCGGCGCACTCAAATGTTGATACCATAAGAAACAAAACTGGTTTAAGATTTTACAATACGGCCTAGGCTAAAAGAAGTCTAGACCTATTTATGGTGTTCAAAGTGAAGTATTAAATGTAAGTGCCCTTAAAATATAAAATAAACTATACATTTATGAGAATATACTACTTTAAAACATTTAAATAGAGGTTCTAATATAGCATACACAATGTTTGACAAGTAAATACCAAATTCACGTCTTAAACCAAATCTTCAATTATGATGATATATTTAAAAAAGCTGATTGTAAAAGGTTTTTACGTTATAAGTAGTGTATTCAGCTCAAATTGAACTACCGTACACTATTAACTGTATTGGCAGCAGGTATTCAAGTGGACATCTGCAACTGAGTGCTAACAATATGTGTTGAGTTGGAACATTATACCCTACTTCTCAAATTCGGTGTTCAAACATCATCAAAGTTTTAGGTCTGGTTCTTTGTTAATGATTATTAAAAATGATCCAAATTAGTGATTTAAAAACCTCATATGTATGCGGAAACCGCAAACCGGAACACTATATTCAATTAGCAGTAGTCTATGCCTGGTGTGCAGTGCAGTAATTAAGGCTAGAAATAACAATCAAACCAGTTATCAGCTGTCTTTGTCTATTTGCTGGTAATCCTATACCAATTAGCTATGCATTGTCGCTTTACATAAGAACACGGTAAAGGAAGGACCAATCAATGACAGCTGATTGTTTGATCAAATGCAAAAGTTAAATGCGTTTAGTTCATTAACTGGAAAGCTACACCATTAATTAATTACTCTGCAGTAATGTCAACTACTATTGCAGCTCATCAAACATTAATGAGGCTGACTGCAAAAGAGCTTACAGAAACTGACAGCTGTGTCACTCGGCTTTGTTTCTTCTCAATTTTTGTTTCATAATTTTTTTTGCAATGATAAAAGCAGTATTACAGATTTTATAAAATTATAAACGTTTTCATGACAATATAGGTACCGGGTGTCCAAAACCACCCGTACACCCCTTTCAAAACAATGTAAACCTTTTCTTTTTCTTACAAAAAAAAAAAAAAAATAATAATAATAATACAGAACTAGCTAAATTGGGCACGGTCTACTAAATGGTGATATTTTCAAATCCAAAATCACACCAGAAGTGGCTTTTTCAGAACGGAAGTTGACTTTTTAAAATGTAAACTACCAATTTCGATTACAGAATCGGATTCTACGTTAACTTTTGTCTAAAACATTTTTTGAAAAAAAAAACTGGTTTTCTACCTCTAATCCCCCATTAAAGTCAATAATTTTGGGTCATTCATCTGTCAAAGTTTCTCGAAACAATAATAGAGAAAAACAAATAACAAAGATTTTATGTAATATTTTTTCTTCATATGTCTTTATGTAGACATATATGAAGAATAGAATCAGCTGTTTATTGTAAACACCTCAGTAATTGAGTAACAGCTGGTCCACACTGTACACATTGCTTAATACATTTTTTTATCTTTTGTTTTTACATTTGACCACTTTAATGTAAAAACAAATGATTTATTTTAATAATTTATTTTTGTAAAAAAATACAACCGACTTCAAACGCTCTAAAAAGAATGAAATAATTTCAACAAAGTACACTTTTGTATTCGGCAAGCTCACGTATTTTAAGTCGGCGCGGCTCTATGATGATTTTTGATACAAAATTGAAAGAGGGTGTCCATATTGCAGGTGACTATCTATAACTAAAGGTGTTAATCTGCATGTCTTTTTCATAGTTATGCGTTAAGTGTTATTTTATTACCGTAATCAGAGATCGGCATTATATTAACGAGTATCTTTAAAAAGATTATAACGCATTTAAATGTTTCTAACTTGGAAAAGTAACGTTTTAATACTAAACTAGCTTCTTTTCCCTACATAATATCAAACTAAATTATTTTCCTATTCGTATAGAACATTTGTGTGTGTTATTTTCATAATGCATTTATTCTGAAGTAAACATAAAATACAAGAAAATATTTCCTTTAATATATAAACAAAACAGTTCAGTATGTTTTTTTATATATTTACTAGCTGACCCGGCGAACTTCGTATCGCCTAAGTTATAGGTTTCCCCTAAGACAGACCGATGGAAAGAAAGTACCGTTACGTTTAATTTTCAAGATGATCTCGTTCGCATCGCTCAATCACGTCCTGATTGAAGTTCGTTCGCTACGCTCACTCACCTTTGGGTTGGAGCTCGTTCGCTACGCTCACTCACCTTTAGGTTGGAGCTCGTTCGCTGCGCTCACTTGCCTTGCTCAATCACGTCCTGGTTGAAGTTCGTTCGCTACGCTCACTCACCTTTGGGTTGGAGCTCGTTCGCTACGCTCACATCATAGAACAGAACCAACTTGTTTAATTGAAACAGCTGTTAAGATTCATTAATTCCATTTCTCATAAGGTTAACATGGGAAACTCCAGAGCCACGGGGGCGGAGCCCTTTTAAGAATTTCGAAACGGGAAATAGTTTACGTCCGATTCGCATACCTACAGAATTTACACACCAAATTTCATAACGATTGGTGAAGTCGTTCCGGAGGAGTTTGCAGACAAACACTGTGACACGAGAATTTTATATATTAGATGTTATCCAGCTACAATTTATTGATTTTCAAAATACACACACAATATTTAATTTCAATCATATTTGCAGTTTGAGCCGCGCCGACTTGAAATACGTGAGCTTGCCTAATACAAAAGTGTACTTTATTGAAATTATTTCATCCTTTTTAGAGCGTTTGAAGTCGGTTGTATTTTTTTACAAAAATAAATTATTTTCATGATTTTTAGTGACTGTATAATTTTTTATATATTATATACTTGAGGATTTTTGATAAGCAAAACTGTTTGAAACAATCAAAAGTTCCACAGAACAATCATTATTTTAAAACTGCTTGAGTCACCTGTTCAGGTCACATAATCAATGTGTATGAAAATAAACATCTTTAGATATTCCTTAAGAAAGAAAGAGTTGTCCATTACATTAGGCCTAGTGAAAAACTAATTGTCTTTTCTAGATACATTGAAATGTCAGACATCATCGTTTCCTGCAATCGGTGTACTTCTACATTATAAAAAGAAATACAGTAACGTCTCAAGCCTTTTGGAACAATATGAAAGTTATTCCTCAGCTCCCAGCACTAAAAAATCTCTCAAAAGTGGAAAATTGGTCGTTAACACCATAGTACCTTTCGTATAGTACCTTTGGAAAATATTATATGAAAGATTGGTTCAGCTAAAAGTGTATAATAGTATTGATATGTTATAGTAACTGGGTAGAGAATATTAATAAACATTCCACATCTGCAAATGAATTATGTATATGAAAGATTGGTTCAGCTAAAAGTGGTGCAAGCCATGTAGGTGGTTTTGTTTGATCAAGATATAGCCTAGTCGAAATTGCAAATCCTCTTCCTCTAGGACTTTCCGAA